TTCTCCACATCCTCTCCAACATTTGTTGTTTTTTGTCTTGGTGATTATAGCCATTCTAACGGGCGATACACTGGTGATTTTTTAATAAAAACTTGGATTTCAGTTCCATATGCTACCTTTGATGAATGCTCTTATCTTCCTAAATAGTCTTGCTGAGTGGGGAATAATAACGTTGGCTGACATTTTCTGTATAAATGATATAATTATGTTTCACAGCAGAGGGCTAAATAGTGAAAGGCCATGAAAACCCTAAATGACAAAGCCTACACTCTAATGAGTAGAATTGTAAAGATCAGTCACATCAACAGGTGGCGTGTAAAACGACAGAGGATGGAAACATATGCCAACCTCCCAAATAAAAATCCAGGCCTAAGGAAGAAGGGTCTGGAATTTTCCAGCCTACCTTTAACAGTGTTAAGTGAAAAACTGGATACCTTTCATACTGCCTTAGTAATAAGTCCAATCTGAATTTGAATTCTGACTCTGCCCCTTTGTAGCTGTGGGGTTTGGTGTGAGTCTCCAAGCTCTCCAACTGATATAGAGACAACTTATAGAAAGTGTCGAGTCCATGGCTGGTGCTTAACAAATTCCAACTATTAACACTAATGACAATGCTCTAGAAGATATTTCTGGGATTTTCTGTTTCCAAAACCAATCAAAATAATGAGGCGAACCCCACAATAATTAGACATTTACATTATTTAGAAATAGACTTTTCAATTTGATAATTCTGAATCTGGACTCAGTTCATCATAGCAAACAGGTAGTTCAATCTGTTTGGAAACTACTGTTACACACACAGACTCACATGTATTAATGACTGCGGGACAAATCAAACAAGAAAAGAAAAAGTGTAAACATCTGCGACTGATTCCAATTGTCCTCTGAGCTGCATATCTTAGTCTGTTGACCTATCTACAGGAATGTCCCAATGGCACCTCAAACTCAACATATCTAAAGCCAAAGTGCTCTACTCCAGGGGTCAGCCATCGGCCAAATCTGGCTCACTACCTGCTTTTGTAAATAAAGTTTTATTGGCACACTGCCATGCCCATGCGTTTATATAGTCATTGCGGCTGCTCTTGCACTACAACGGCAGAGTTGAGTCACTGCAATAGAGACCATATGGCCTGCACAGCCTAAAGATATTTACTCTCTGACCCTTTACCCTAAAAGTTTGCTGACCTCTGTTCTAGTTCCTCAAACCTGCTTCTTTTCCTATATTGCCTACTTGGGATGGTCAGACCACTTTCTGGGCCTAGAGATACTGTGGTCACCTCTGCCTGGGATGGATACCTCTCCCCAATGCCCCCAGCAACTCCCAACTCAACCTCTAAGGCCCTGCTGTTCAGGGCTTCTCATCTACCCCGAGGCAGAATGAGTCCCACCACTTGCTCTTCTGTGGTCCAACTGGAATTGGTTCAAGACCTCCTTCATCAAGGTCTCCTCCGCTCTAATTTGTCTACCCATTTTCTATCTGCCACAGTGCTGATGCAGTGCCCTGCACATAGTAGGCAGTCAATATGCACATGAAATGCATGCTGTTGGAATTTAATTGAATTACTTCTCCTCTTAATTTTTGCAAATCAAAGCTTTTTTCCAGGTTTAATTCAAGTTCCACTCTCCCCTGATGCTTGGCAGCCATTTGTTTTCTTCCTGCTCTGATCAATTGCGGCAATTGTTGCCCAGCTCCTTTAATCTTACGATGTGCCTGCACAGCTTGTTTGCTTGACCAGAGCAGGCCTTTCATTTCTTTTCTTTTGAACTCCTTTAAGGAGCACTGACTCTGACCCTCAGGTCACCACAGTGCATTCCAGCAGAGTATGACCCTGGACACAAAGACAGTGAATCCACAAGTTGCCCAGAGACCTATGCTGAAACCTAGTGTAGGAAAAAAAATAGTTGGCCTATCACCTTCTCTTTTGCAGGAGTTTGAATTGGGAACCAGGAAGAGAATGGAGCAGTTAGTGATAGGAGCTGAGTCTGACAGGGCTGGAGAGAGACTAGGAGACCACAGTGAGCCACATGCAAGCTGGAGCCATAAAGGAGAAGACTTGATGGTTAAAGAGAAAGGATGAGCGAGAGAAATGGTACTCGGAGCCAGGTAGCCAGTCAGTAGGGAATGGAGGGAGAAAGAAACAAAAGCCCAAAAAGAGAAGGTGATGAAGTCATGGGAGAGGCAGAGAGCCCTACATCTCTGTCTGGCTAAATTTAGGGACACCCCAGTTTCAGTTCTTCCCACATATACCCTTAGAGTCCATGTTTCAGAACTTGTGCTAACTTGAGTGGGCCTCTCCATCTTAGAACCCAAACAGCCTTCACCATACAACACTGACAGAGGCAGAGCCAGGATTCGGGAGGCCTGAAACTTACAACATTTTGTGGGCCCTTTTTAAGAAAAAGAATACAAAATTACTGTACTTTTGCAAATTTTATAAAGATATACATCATTCATGTGAACACACTGCCAGAGGCCTTGCAAGTGAGAGGCCTGGAAGCCTAAATTCATTATTATTTCAGCAAATCCAATTCTGGACGCACATCATCACGCAGGTGAGCTTTTGAAAGGACCAACGTGGAACTGGAACCACGTTACCACGGGAGCAGAGCAGAAAACTAATTCTAGCTGGGGAGCATATTACAATTTTTATCTTTCATATATATTATAGAACCATTTGGAAGACCTTTGGCCAAAATAGTCCCTACCAACTTGACACATTAATTTTTAACATTTTTTCCTAATAGTACTTATTTAAACCATTTAAATCAATTTAGTTTAAATAAAGGCTTTTTGCTGGAATGTTTCCTGTCCAGTTTTTTTTGGCCCCCCCACTCCCTTCATGTGGACCCCCAAGGCTCACCTCCCAGGTCTGTGACAGCCGGCTGACAGAAGCAGTGTTGAGACCCATCACAATAGCAAAGAAAGAATTCAGGTTTCTCTGGGCTTTGCAGCTATGGAATAAAAGAAAGCAGAGGGCACTTTGAGACAACATCTTTTCGCCAGATGACCACAAAAGATAAACCTGAGAAGACTCTCCTAGGCCACAGAGTTCGACCTCTAGGGCAGGGCTGAACTCTGCTCCAGAGTCAACACACCCTTGACTGGCCCTGTGGCAGTGTGGTTTCCTCTCAACTGTTTCTAACACAAGTGCAACACTTCTAAATACTTCAGTTCATCCTCACCTTTAGGAAAAGATCTGTGCTCTTGACACCCTCTGGACACTTCAAAACATTCTTCCTTCTTAAATCTATTTGGATGCATTTACAATTTCAACTGAAAACTCCTCAATTCATGTTTCTTTAGAGATACCACACTCTCATTGTAACAGCTCTCTCGTCCCATCTCTTTAATCAGTATGCTGTCTTTATTTTTTGACAGACAAGCTCCTCTCACGTCACAGGTCTAAGCTTCCCCTCCCAATACATTTAGACATATTTTCTTTGCTATCAACAAAATAGCTACTATATTATGTATATATTTAAAATATGGCATATATTATGGGATACTGTCTCACATTTCTCATTTAAAGAAAAAAGCAAATAAAATGCAAAATAAGATCATGTTGACTTCCATTCACTCTGTAACGTTATCTGTTTTGTATAACATCAATTGTGCATCGACTTAATTGGCCAAAATTCCACTAATTTTCAAAGCCAGCTGAGGGGGATTAATATAGTAGAGGAAGGTTGGGCTTCCAGAACCATCTATGAATTCCAGACACTCCTTTATCTGGGCCACGTTAGAAAACAACTCTGAGGCAAGTCTTTAACATTAAGAAATTACCCTAACTTGATAACTAAATGTGAAGAAATATGAAAGTGCTTAGCAGTTAGGCGGGTGCATAAAAAGTACCCAGTTTATGTTAATTTAGCTTCCCTCAGATGCCATCTCTTTCACGACATCTCCATCAATGTTTCAAATGGAATTTGGGAACAGTGTATATATAACTCTGTATCCTGATTTTTCAGTTATACACTGTTACATTATATATTATGAATTCTTCACTATTATCAATAGCTATATAACACTTCATCAAAAACATGTTTCATAATTTGTTTACTCATTCCCCTACTGTTGACATTTAAATTATTTTCAATTCAATACAATTCAATCCAATATAGAATGCTACAATGAATACCTTTGTATATAAAAATTTTTACTGTATTTATGATTTTTTTTAATTAAGTTAGACTTCCAGTCATTACATAATTGGTCAAAAGCTATCATGACTGTAGGAGGTCCTTGACACATATAACAAACTTCTGTCCCCCTAAACTATACTGATTTCCAGTCACACAGGTTGTGTATAAGAGCATCTAGTTCAGAACAAGCAAAATGGTTTGGACTGTTAACACAGTAATACACACAGCTGGCTGTGCCCTGGCAGGTCCTAGAGCCAGCCTTGTGGACGAGATACTGCCCAAGTACGGCGGCGCCTGGGCTCCGAGGCAATGAGGGTCATGCCTGGGAGCATTTTGGAAGTTCTGTTCCCATTAACAGTGGAACCTGAAAGGCACTGCTGCCTCCACACCTAGTATCCAAAATATCTGGGGTGAACACAGTCCTGCAGGCCCTTCACTGCTGAGTCTCCACTGGGCTTGGTCTGACCTCTCACAGTCTTCCTGCCCAGCTTTTTGACCCTGCCTGCAGTTTTCTGGTAGGCAAGAGGACCTGAAACTGAGTCTAACTGGCCCCTTCATCTGGTTTCTGCCAACTTTCTCCTGGGTAGACTCCACTTGGTATATTCCATAAATAAATAAACAAGATACTTCCTAGTCTATGATCTAGAAATCCACCTGTTTTTGAGAATCATTGGTGCCTAAAGGCATCAATACTGAGACTCTACTTCCCTTCTGCCATTCACTTCCCTCCTTCTACACTTTCTGTCTCATGACACCGCTGAAAGTTCACACCAGCCAGAACAGACTTGAGTCAGCTCCATCTCTTGACTTGACGATTTGAAGTGCCAGGTCCTCTGCCAAGGCTCTTGTGGTCAGTGAGAACTGCTCCATCCCTACGCCAGAAGCATCCCAGTTGGGGCTCTCTCTTACTACATGATAGAGGTCCCACTGGTTCTGTCATTCCACATGGGACATTAGGTTCTTTAAGGCTAGAGTATATGTCTATTTCATTCTTATATTCTGCCCGTCTCCCAAATGCCTAGTATACAGCAAGCCTTTCAAATAGCATTTGTTAGAGTTGAAAACAAGACTTTTTGGGAAATGGTTTTATTATTAGTCATTATAAAAAGGTTTATTATTCCTCTTTTTATTCAGTATCATTTACCTATATGGAATCTTAGATAGAATTCTCATCTTTTTATCTTTTAGCTCCCCATAAACAATTTTCCTGGTCCAGATGTCTTTTTTAGTCATACTTAACATAAAAAAAACACACATATAACTAACATCTGAATCTGTAAAAAGAAAAAAGGAATTAACATAGACACAATTTCTCTAGAAGACAAATTGATACAGTACAAATATCGGATACCATTCCAGTCTGGAATTCTCTGTCATGAAGGTTCATTCATTCCATGATAAGAACAGACTGTCTGACACTAAAACATTCCAGTTTAGCAAACACTCCTTTGTCTGTGTAAGGAAATAAAACCCACTCAATCCACAGAGGTGGGGGGTGGGGATGGTGAGAAGAAAGAGAAACATGAATATGCAAATAGGATGCCTTAGGCAGGGAAGACACTTCGTGATCACGGAAATTACTGTTTTCCCTTGGTTATTCCTACTACTGTGATTATGAGGAATTTAACTTTATGTTTCTGTTGGCATTCTATTCCATGGGCTAGGGACAGAGACCAGTACAGTAAATAATTCAAGAGCATGGGGTCATATGGAGACGATGTGAATATATTTCATTTCCCTGAGGACAGATATAATCTTATGCTGGGAACTAAGCTGTGTGGTGTCATTTTACTCCTTGGGACATTAATGTCCCATTTCTCCAAGTAACTGGCATTTATAAGAAAGTTTTTGATCCAAAAGAGCCTCACCTTTAGGAATTTCACAGACTACTATGGAAAGCACTGGCCAAATCAAAAAAAGGAGTATTCACCAAAAAAGCAGTCCAAGATTTAGGCATATCTGTCATCTATCTCTCCTTCCATTCCCCATCACACAAACACCAGGTCAGGTACTTCTACTATCTCTCACCTAAGTAAACAAAATATCCTACTGTGGGGTCTCCTCACTCACAGTTCAGTCTATGTGCTACTTTCAGATCAACATTCCTAAAGGATGACTGATCATATGGGTCTCCTGCACAAAAACTTCCCATGAATCACTACTGCCTTCTCAATTCAGTCCAACCTCTTCAATCTGAAATTAAACATCCTTTATAATTTGCTCCCATCTTCCTTTGCAGATCGATCTCCCACAACTTCCTTACAAATACTCTCCACTGGGTCCAAACTGGATGGGGTTCCTTTCCTTGTGTGCCTCCAACGAGCTTCTCTGCTTCTCTCCTCCAGGGAGTTTGACCTCCATGGAGAGTGTGCCCTTTTAAATTCTTACCTGTCAAATTCCACCCAGAATTCAAATATAACCTCAAATGCTACCTCCTTCACAAATGTTTTTTGAATCTTCCTTTCCCACATCGTTGGCATATGAACTTCCCTTCCTCTAAAGCCCCCTACAGAATTTCCTCTCATGATAGGGTACTCCCCCATTCTATATGCACACTAGACATTGGAATTACAGAAGTGTCCCCACACACCGGCAGACTGCAAACTCCTCCAAGACAGGGATTACGGGTAGGCTCCATCTGATTTCCCCACAGTACCTTGTGTGGATCTGCACATATACTGAGTGATCAATATGTATTTCCTGAATATATTACACTGGCATGTACTCAAAACTGTGTGACATAAAAACTGCTTTGAAAGACAAAGGAGAAATAAAATGGGAAGACTGGGAGGTAGAGGAACTGGGAAAGATTTTGATTCATGCTGCCTGCTTCTGTCAGGAAGCTGTCCCAAGAGCAGTCCCAGGATACTAACCTGGCATTTTAAGAGATGCTCCCAGCAAGCTACTAAAATGTCATTCAACCAACATTTACTGAGTGACTGCTATTTACCAAGTTCCGTACCAGGCACCCCAGGTACAATGACTGATTAGAATTGATCCCTGTCCTCTGGAGGCTAACAGAGCCCAGTGAAGGAATCCTATATAAACAGATAAGTTTAATAAATATAATAAAGAAATTTAAAAAAATAAAAAGGAAAAAAGCATGTGGGTATGGGCAGAGAGGGAGGGGGTGGGGAACAGAGGCAGGGAGTAGTTTACCCTGCATTTGAAAGTCAGGAATGACTTCAGGAAGGAAGGAACATTTGACCTAGGTTTTAAAGAATGACAGTGATTTGCTGGGTGGAAGTGGTCATTATTGGCAGAGCCAACAGCACATGTCCAGGCTTGCAGGATGGTGTGCACAGGAAAGAGATAGCCATTCAGAGCAGCTGCAGCATGGGGTGCACCCAGCGGATGAGGCTCAGAACTCAGGTGGGACCAGCCCATGCAGGGCCTGCTAAGCAGTTTGCAAAGTTCATACTGTGGGCCCCAAAGAGCCAAGAGTAGAGTCCTAGAATGCACTTGATTTTCAACGATTCTCACCCCCTCATGTCATCTTCCCCCATTTTCCTAGCCCACTGGGGCTCACCTGGCCACATTGTAATTTAGCTGCAGGATGGCGCATGTGTGCACTGCCTGCTTATTAATTCTATAGCACAGAGCAGAGTGCTTTTGTCTGGTATTTTGACATTTACTTTAAAATATAAATACTTCAAATGCAAAGACATAAATATTCAAGAACAGACCTTTTCAATCATTTGGTCACTTAACTCAATATTATACTTTTACATCCCAACCCTTCTTATCATCGCAAGGAAAAAAATGTACTCTCTCAAGATGAGGAGAGAAATTGCACTTTTCACCACCAGAAACTCACTGAGCGGCGATTTTGATGAATTTTTTCACCAGCTGCACTCGCTTGCCTAGCTGGCTGCAGAGCAGAATCTCTGTGGCCACCCAGAGCTGGACTTCATTGCATCTCTGGAGTAGAAGGCTGAGGTTCACGGTGTGCTCCCCACTTCCTTGTCTGCTGAACGTGAAATAGATCAGCTCTTGCTGAAAGAAAATGTAGTCATGCCAGCATTTATTTTTAGCACATTCAAAGTCAAGCTGATATAAAAGCCAGTCCATTTTTAAGACCTATTTCAGGAAGCCACTCTCATATCATAATATGTTATAAGAATATAATAAATAACAATATATTAAATTGGATAAAATTTATCTTTAGTTTTAGAGATGCTTCATTAAGTAATGTTCACCTAGAATCCTTATATAAATGTTATTTTTTAGAATGTAAGGATGATGCCTTTACATGAAATTCTAAGACATTCTAAAGTTTAAATCACAGGTTGAATCAAATCCAAACTTCCCAAACTTGTTATATCGGCAAATACAAGTGGAAATGAACATCACTATTATTCATTAAGATACACATTAGACTCTCACTGGTAGATTCTCTAGACAAGAGTTTTCATATTTTAGTGTGAATCAGGATCACCTGGAGGCTGTTAAAGCACAGATTGCTGGGCCCCACTCCCCCCAAATTTTTTGATTCAGTAGGTCTGTGGTGGGGCCAAAAATGTGCATTTCTAACAAGTTCCCAGGTGGTGCTGATGATGCTGGTCTGAGAACCCACTCTTTGAGAACTACTGATACAAGATAATGTCAAATCATAAATAGAAAGAGAATGAGATTAGGGCAAGTTCCAAAATTTACAAAATCCAGTAAGACCAGTAACTATTTATATAGACTGATCATATGCAAAACAATAGACGAGATTTGTTTTTAAATGGAGGGATGTGCATGTGACTGTATTTTACAGAAGTAATTCACATTCTCCCACTGCATGAGCAGGGACACATCCCACTCCATCAACATTTCCAAAGTCACAAGTCATTTAGCTTGAATGAATTCACTACTTACTCAAATTTAGAATACAATGTTGTAAATTTTTTTAATTAGAAAATATGAGGACATTCAAAACACATTCTAAAATGAAGTGAAGCTCAAGGGTCCCTAAGTTGGGCATGAGTTCCTTCTTCAGAAGGAAAGGTTGTTTTATAATGGAAAATTTCACTACATGGCAAAGCAGATGCAACATATGGTTGCACAGAGCTGTCACATTTTTCATCTCCTGATTCCTGTGAGCCTTTCCACTGGCTAAATTTATTTATTAATTGTCAGTTGCATTTTGCCCCTAATGTATTGTTTTATAAACATTTAAGCTGTCCTCAAGGGAGAGGTTGATGGACATAAAAATTTGAAATATATCTCAAAGTTTTCACGAAAGTACTTGAAGTCTTATGGCATAGTCTAAATTTATAGTATGTTCTTAAGTAAAAGAATGTGTGTGTGTGTGTGTGTAGGTATGTATGTAAATATGATTCTTGTATAACTACTCTAAACTTCATGGAAAAATAAAAATATTGGTATCAAATGTAAAATGGCTCTTTAACCCCAGTAGGGATTCATAAATACAGAAATATATAGACAAACACAGATGTATTCAGACATATAAAAATAGAGCATATTTATATTACATTTACACAAACGTATGACTGTATTAGGAGCAAATAAAGCATGATCATGTATTCTGATTTACCTAAGTTTGGGTCAGTCTTTCTTTTTTTTTCTTTTTTGGTGAGGAAGATCAGCCCTGAGCTAACATCCGATGGCAATCCTCCTCTTTTTGCTGAGGAAGATTGGCCCTGGGCTAACATCCGTGCCCATCTTCCTCTACTTTATATGGGATGCTGCCACAGCATGGCTTGACAAGTGGTCTGTCGGTCCAAACCCACAAACCCCGGGTCGCCGAAGCAGAGCACGTGCACTTAACCACTATGCCACGGGGCCGGCCCCTGGGTCAGTCTTTCAATATATTTAAAGTCCCAAAATATGTTTTTTTGGGCCATGGTATCCTAAGCAGAACTATATCACCAGATGATGGATCTTCTTAAAACCTAGTCACACAAATAGTCTTCAAAATGACTTCACAGCTAAAATAGCACTAGCATTTATTTTATCTTTTCACTCCTTACTTACCTCGTGAATTGAATTGAAAAGACTCCAATCAAAATTCATTAATTCCAGAGCAAGATCCCAAGTGTTCATTCCCAAAATCCTCATCGACCTTTGCTGTGATTCCTCATTTTCTGCAAGAGGGTTCTAAACCGACAGAAGCAAAAGGATCCTCAGTAATTTCCAAATGTTTGGCACTGAATTGGCTAGCCATAGAAAAGCGCTAGAAGCCCAAATTAGAAAAGTAATCTTGTCTGAGTGCACTTAATATTTTTCCTGGTCTGTTCACCTTCAGTGAATTACAGCCAATTTAGGAAACAGCCTTGGAAACAGCAGAATGTGATCAATGATACTTCACTGAGTTAGCCTGCCCCCTCCCCATCAACGTACGTGCAAGCACAAATCTGATTATAAAACACTGCCTGGCAGACAGCATAATGAAAGCAAAAGCCCTGAAATCACTGGGCTTCTGGTAAGAATTAATGTGCCAGCAGGGTTAGTATAAAAACAAACAAAAGAAATGTCATGGTGCACTTCAATAAAGACAGACACGGCTTTTACAGGAAATATGTTTAGCAAGTCTCATCCCAGACACACATTTACAAATTTTATTAAAATGTCTGTGGAAAGCGATAAAAATTTAAACAAGAAATAAAAAATAAGTCACTTCATTTATACCCTATGGGGGATGATTATTTTAAGTATCTATTGCTTTCCCGACACAAATAGGTATAAGTTTGGTAATAGTATTTCCTTAAAATCTCGCATGAAATTATTAAATGCCACAACTTGAAATCTATCTTCATTGTTAAATTTCTTAAGTTATTTGACCTCTTTCCAAGATATCTGATATTTTCTAAATCAAATATAAATTCTCCCATTTGAGGGGGTTGGCCTTGAATAGTTAATGATGTTAAAATAGTTAATGACTTGGAAAAAAAAGAATGGGACTTTACAAAAATAAATGACATAGCAGGATAAAGGAAATATTTCAGATTCCAAATATTAATCTATTTTTAAACTGTGAAATAAATTATTTGCATTTTGGAAGTTATACATTTATAAAAAGATTTCCTAATTTAAAAAAAAGCAAACGACAGATGACTTTCACAGAGCTTTTCCACAGACTTGATTCTCTTCAGAGCAGGTCAAGGCACAAACTGTTCCTGGATCCCCAGAGTGGAAGACAGCGTGGAGCTCAGTAAGGGCAGACTGAACAAATGCACGTGCAAATACTGTGGTGCTGAGGTGGGGGACAAGCCCCGGTTTCTCTGGGGTTGGTCCAGGTAGGTTGGGACCAGATGGACACCACGCTGCACCGCAGACATTCCAAGGGAGAGCCAAGAGTTGAGAAGTAACATAAATTTCTCTTACTAATTTGGAGGTGTAGGGGTATTTTCACTTGGCTTTTTATCCCTCCTACTTTCTAAATGTGCCCCTTACCCTGGCACTGCCCTCTGGTTATTCAAGGTTGTCCACCGCCCTCTCCAAGGAACACTTTATATTTGTCTATCCCATTCAGGACTCTAATTCCTGCTTTCCAAGAAGATCAATTAATCCATATGCAAGTATAGTGGGTACTAGTGGTTTCACCTGTTATCATTCCCTTTCAATGTTCCATTTCAACTGAAATCTTTGGGAGATGAAATACCTAAAGCTATGATTCCAACAGGGAAATTTTTGGTGGTGTGCAAAGGTGGTGGGGGAAACATTTGAGGGCAAGATGGCATCTGGCTCATCTTGGAACATACTTCATAGCACCCATTTATTCCATTAAGACATTGCCTCAGGCCCACCTTCTGTTCTTCCGAAGCTGGCCCTGCACAGCGGTAGGAGAGCTCTGGGGATGCATGCAAGGGAACTGCAGGAGGAGCTGTGCGTGGCGGGGGGAAGAGGGCGTGGAAGACAGAGTGTGGGTTCCCTCCATCACAGGGAGCCCACAGCAGTTACATATGACATTGTCCTCCTTCATGGGGAGGGGTCAAGTCAAATCAATCTCATTATTTGCTCAAAGATGCTGTGCATAATCCAGTTTGTCATGTTTCAGTGATGGAATTACATCATGTACAGACACAGGGCTGTGACCTGCTGAAGGACACTCAGCACTGAAAGGCCCAAGTAAGACAAAAGGTTTTCCTCTATCTCCTTTTCTCCCACATCATGTACAAATGAAAGGAATGTGCAGGAGCTTCAGAGTCAAATATAATTGGACTGAAATCCTAGCACTGTAGGAGGCTAGAGTAAGCTACTCAGCCTCTCTGAATTCCATAGGATTATTGGGAATGTTAAATGAGATACTATATGTCAATTACTCAGCACATATGTGTCTGGAATGTAAAAAATGACAGTCACTGATACTATTATGGTAGCTTGATATCCTGTAGATAATTTTACATAAAATATTTTTATTATAAGCAGTTTTGTTAACCCATGTGGTATATACATCCCTCAATTACATATACAACAGGAGCCAGCTGGAGAGACCCATCCCAGTGATGACTCCATGAAACAGACTAAGGCCATGAGTCCAGATGATATAATCACCATCTGGTAGAGTCTGCTTTTTATGGGTGATGGATCTGAGGCCTGATCCTACCACTCAGAAAGCAAGCCCAAGACTGAGGTTTTTAGGAAAAACAGCAACAAATCATCAACTTAAATGTAAATTTTCTTAAATTTAGAATTGAAAATAACACAGTGTGGGTTCTACATTTCATACTCTTACTCTTCTGCAGCATCTGATGTCTCACCATTATGAGCCCATTTTACGCAGGGAAGGTTGATAATCCACCCTTTCTTCCAGGGAATGGTACACTCAAAGTGCACCAAATGGACAGAAACAAAGAGCAGAGTCTCTCTCCCCCTAAATCCAAGCAGGGTGCACTTCTCAGCCTAATCTCCATATATCCACCAAAAAAGGAGAAATGGAAGTAAGATTCGATGGGTGATGGAGTCACTTCTCTTAAATCCCTTGTTTCAGGGCCTCAGAAAGAAGCAGGTTTAATTTAGGAAGGGTTTACAATTCCTCAAGATGGGTCTTTCTTTGGTTTGCAAAAGTAGTGTTATTTGACAAGTGTATTGTTGGCTAAAAGAAGAAACAGTTCAATATATTTTTCCAATATTCATTATAAAATATACAAAAATATGCTTTGAGTCTGACATTAGCGTGTGTGTGTTTCAAGTACAAGGTTAAAGGTCCTTACCAAAGTGTCAGCCAGGTCTTTCCGGTAGACATATATCCGACCAGATGCTTCAAGGGATTTGGAGATGGCCAAGTCATTTGGCTGAAGTTCATGCTTTTCTTTATTTAAAAAAAAAAAAAAAGAGTAATTAGAAACACAAAAAGAACAGTAGGCATACACGGTACATTAGAAGAGTGAAATCTACCAAAGAGAAATATTTAAAAGTAAATAGGTGAGCCAGCCTGGTCGCGTAGTGGTTAAGTTCATGTGCTCCACTTTGGCGTCCTGGGGTTCGCAGGTTTGGATCCCGGGCATGGACATACACACTGCTCATAAAGCCATGTTGTGGCAGCGTCCCATATACAAAATAGGGGAAGATTGGCACAGATGTTAGCTCAGGGCCAATCTTCCTCACCAAAAAAAAAAAAAAAAAAGGTAAATAGGATGTAAAGTAGATTTAATTCAGTTCTACGTATTCTGTACAGTGACATCAGTGGGACTATGGACATCACTGGTCATTATCCATAGAGTGGAACCCTCTTGTGATTCTTTCTTATAATACTTCGTCATTCTTTATAACAGAACAGTTTAGGGAAGAAAGTAAACTTCACTCATAATCCCATCACTCTAAGAAAACCATAGGATGGTAACATTGTAATATTTGGGAATATTTTTGTTCTGATCTTTATGTAAATGTGTATGTGTATATCTGCACACACACATACATATAGTCACAATTATTATTTATACATATGCATTCATAATTATTATGGGTACACATATACATATATATTTGCAATTATTCCATATATGGTTTTACATTCTGATTTTATAAGCACTTACCCACTTGTCAAAATTATTTATATGTCATGTTTAATTGGTTACATAACAGTCCATTATACCATCATTTACTCTTTCCTCTATTGTTGAATATTTCATGGTTTCCAATTTTTTTGGTCACATAAATTAGATGGCAAAATATATGCTAAGTACTAGCACCGGGCCTGGCACATAACAGGGGGTTGATAAATGGGATCTATTATTATAGCAGCCATAATATATATTGCTGAAGTCAACATCCTTGTGCATCAATCTTTGGCTGCTTACAGATAATTTTCTTAAGATAGATTCCCAGCAGTGGAATTACTCGGTCATAGGGAATGAATATTTTCAAAGGTTTTGATACAAACTGCCAAATTGCTTTCCAATTCTTATTTTTTAGAAAATAAATCATCAAATTCCTAAAAATAAGAATAAGGACTTGTCCACTGCTCAACACTGATCATTACCTTTTGGTAAGTTTGCTATTTTGCTAAAACGAAAAATAGATTCTCGGTTTATTTTGTGTTTCTAGATTACTAGTGAAGCTGAATATTTTTCATATATTCTTCTTCAATGTACTTCCCTTACTACAAATTGTTCCTATCCTCTGACCATATTTCTACCATAGCTGGAGCTCTCTTATAACACAATAGCTTTCTTCATAGAAAAATGTACTCCTAACTACAAAAGGCAGATGGAAATCGACTAAAGTAATACCCAAGTTAATTCCACTGTAACATAATCAGCTTCTCCCAAGGTAGCCCTTCAGTTATCTAGCATGGCTGGGAAATGCAACATTCCACATATCTTTTTCTAGATAACTTAATCAGTTCAAATGCCAAATTTTGTTTTGAACATTTCTGCTTAATACAGAGTAAGTACATAAATGATAATCTAATATATCCTTTATGGCCCAGCATTATAAAGATCAACAGTACTGTCATGTTGGGCTGTTGATGTGTGTAGTAAATGGTCCCACACGGCAGGGCTCTGAAGTTCTTCCAACCCCTCCCTCTTTGTTTAGCTACAATTTCTTGCAACCCTCTGTGTGCCCATGTATACCTTAAATCTGACTTTACGAGAGCTACTCCATACTTGCTATGGAATAAAACGCCAAGGCTTTCTGACAATAATTTTTCCATTTGCTAAGAAATTTTTTTTACTTATTTTCAGGTCTGTCACTATACTATAAAAGATTAAAGCTGACAGAATGGTAAGCTCTGAATAACTGGGTAGGTTTCTGTTACTACATACATATACCTACCCAAAAACAGGGTACACAACAGCTAGAAACCACTGAAGGCTATAAGGATAATAGTATCAGATTTTTAGAAAAATCCACAAAACCTACAACATTGCCAACATCTTTAAACTTTTTTTGACAAAAAGAAAATAACAGTAGATCTCATTGTCATTTCATTTTGGAGTAGCATTTAAAAAATTATTTATTGAAATTACGTAAGTAGAACAAGGAATACATTAAGCTCTGGGTTTTTTCCTTAATAAAAAGATCATTATTTGGGGGATATAAGCTGCAGTGTTCATAACAGAGAAAACTACTAATTGATGGAAAATGATGGCAGATTTCCAAAACTGTGGGATAATGCAAGAGATAAGTTGATATTTCTAGTGATGATTAGCAGTGAGTGTGTACACATTAGAATGCCATGGCCCACCCTGATGAATCTAATTTAATAGAGTGTAAAATGGTATTTCACAGCCATCAAACAGATTGGATAATAAAGAGCCACTCGTTCATTTCCAGATTCACATGTGGGCATGGGCTGACTCTGATTCTGCCTCCAAGGGAGATGGGTCTCAGTTGTGCTACCAAGTTCACTCAAGGTCCTTCCTTCTCCAGCACCTTCTGTCTGAATGGGGACCCAATGATTCCTCTCTGTAATGGTACTGTCTTGAGTGACAGAAGTTGCTTTTGATGAAGCTTAACACTATTTAGAATCATTTAACATTTTTCGTCACTTAAAATTAAAAATAATACACATGTATCATATCTATCTGAAATATCTGAAATACTTTATTAAAAATTCAACCACTCCCTGATTAAAATTCATGTAGTCCACATGTTTCTCAAATTCTTGCTCTTTTTTTCTAGACAATGTTTTGATGGATGCACAATTAGGGCCCTGAGAGATGGAGGATGGACTCTTGTTTGTTAGGCCTCGGGAGAAGGGCTATATCTGTCTGCATATGTAATTGACTAGCTTGTAGGACCATTTTACCTGACTCCGAGTAACAAAGCAATAGAAGTAATACTCTGTCACATGATGCTTTAACATCAGGTATCCTCCTGACTCTAGAATGATAACAAAGGGTAAGAGGAACGCTGGCTTTCTGCTCCCCCTCCCCCTGCCTGCCCCATCTCTGGTTGATTAGTTCACATAGCACTCCCATTTTTCAACTACTGATGCTAAGTCACCTTCTTTGTATTTTTCTCAGGGTTAATGAGATATTAAATAAAGATCGTAAGCCAGCAACCTTGGGATCTGACAGGCTCCAGTGAAAACGAGGGGGTCTGTTCAGGTCACGTAGATCAATAGTGTCAGCTTGTAATCTGTGTGATCTTATTCAAAATAGACAATAAACCATTCTCTGAGGATAAATAAGCCCCAACAGAAGGAAAAGCTATCACCAGGCCTCACTCCCCACAGCCACCTAAAGGAACACTGACTGTGAGCTTATTGTATAGTTTTTATTTCCTTCAATAGGGAGTCTTTAAGTATTAAATTGTCAGCCAGCAATATGACTAGTTCAAGCCTGTCTTTCTTTTTTCTTCCTTAAGTAATTTCATCCTTTAGCAATTTCCCAAGTTAATTTAAATATGAAAATAGAAGGCTTATGTAGAGTACAAAATAAGAAAAGCTGTATAATATATTTCAAAACACCGGCATGCCTCTCTATGCAGTTCTTGGGGAGGAAATCCAGAATCCAACAGTGCCCAACTGTTGTCATGGAAACACCTCTGGTAGGCGGCTTCTTATTGTCACTATGGTCACCCAGCTGCGGACCCAGAAGGGACGAGCTGCACATTTACTCCATAAAAATGTCAACTCTCTCCTTTTGGAGCAGATCCAGCGAAAGATTAATATTCAAGTACAGAAAATAATTTACCCCCAGAAAATGTGACAGCCACCAGAGCCAGATCCTCTTCTGCATGCTGGATCTTTTCTGCCACAACTTTCAGGATCTCTTGGGCTGTGCTGGAAACTTTTGCCTTCACACTGACATAGGAGTGCTCTGTTATATACACATGACAAAAAACTGCACAAGGCAAAAGAATTGTTAGTAAACAGAGAACTGTGGACACGAGATACAGACTTTTCCAAATCAAGGCATCCACCTTGCTATTCTCTTTAATATAAAACATACACAGCTGGATTTACATATTCATGTATGCACATGGGCGCCTGAGGGCATATGCATATAAATGTGTGCTTGCATACCTGAGATATGGACATTACAAAGCTGGTGAACAAGCATGAGTAGTACTTAGGTTTCTCATACTGTAACGAGAGACCCACATCATGCAAGTGTGCGCTCATGGTGGAGATGGCCTGACCACAACACGGTGGGATCTGTGGAACATGGACTGTATTTTTGAGTCCCTTCTTTGAGGGTTACTGAGATCTCCCAAAGCAGTATATTAAAAAGCCTAACTCATAAATTTTTATTTCACACTCCATTTCTGGACAGTCACCCTGGTCCAGTCAAGAACACCACATTTTATTAGAACTCTCATAAGCTTATCTAAATATCTGTCTTTTGCCGTGGTTTTTGTGTTCAGCCTTCTTGATCATTTCAGAATGACCCCCTTGAATCAAGGTGGCAGTGAGTTTAGTTTCCAAATAGAGGTCACATTTCTAGTCTTTTTAATTTCCTTTTTATTGTCTGCAGTACTAATAATTATTACTAGGACATTATCACTATCAGGGTGAATGGGTCCTAGAAAAATTTTTCTTTATGATTTGATAGCAGAAACTGTTTTAATAGCAATGGAGATAACTGACACATCTGCTTCTTATATCAGCTGCTCTGAACGTATAAACCACTGGCTTCTTTAGAAAAGACAGAAGGACAATAATATACTTAGATATTCTTCTCTTTTATATTTCAAAATAAAACAAAAAAGGTAGTGTAGCTCCTAGAGAAATTTCATATGCAATTTAAATAGCACCACAAAAATAAACCCAGGAATGTTTTCAGAGAAATGCAAATGAAGCCAAAAACAAACTATGAGTTTACATGTACAAATGTCAAAGTAAACACGCCACCGGGAGGCATTGACAGTATTTTGTTTTTGGTTTGGTTGGGTGTGTCACTAAAACAATAGCATCTAACAAATAGTTGTTTTATATGTTGTCACCAGACTCATGAGAGACAAAAAGGCTTTTTTCCTCCCATAGAAAAATGGAATTTTGAGCAAGGCAAAGATCCGGTCTACAAACCACTAAATGTGAGGAAAGTTTACAGTTTGCTTAATAAACTGATGAATGAAGAGGCCAGGATCTTGAAATACTCAGACTCTTCGAAACTCAGCTTGAAAAACTGTACAATTAAACTGTGAGACAAATAGGCAAGGAAAGTCAGCAAGTAAGGAATTAGGAGGTAAGGTCATTTCCTTTGCTCTTTCACTTGGTATAGATTATACATTATGATAACAAGAGTCCCATTGATGAGCAGCATTATATACAAACACAACATAACAGAAGAAGCATCCCTGTGATATTTTGTTGGTTAGGTGTTCAAGAAGTTGAGCAACTATTAAAGGTTCACACGTAGAATTTCAGCACATTGAGAAAGGCGAGTTAAGAGAGAGAGCCTCCAAGTCAACAATAGTGTGAACAATTGCTGTTAAGTGCTTCCCAGCTCTGCACTTGACTCAATCTTCTTCCAAACAGGAGGAAACCACTTCCTGTTCCATTATAAAATATTAACGTAGAAAAGCACGTCAGCACCTTCAGGGTGCTAAAAAGGTATTTTCCCTTGTACTGACCCAGCAGCCCTCTTCAGGGTGGGTCACAAGCTCTCTCAAGTGCTGACGCACACTGACTGGGGACATGCTGGATGTGTGGCACTGCCCGGCACAGCCTTGCCTTGAAGGAATTTCCATTGCACACCCTTCCTTTCATTATTCTCTCCAAGATTTTCTTCTCTACATCTCAGGGACTGACTCAACCAAAGCCCTGCACATTGGCTTTAGTGGACTTTCCAGTTAGTCACAGGCAATGGGCTGACAGAGCAAGGAAGAAGGTAGCCAAGAGGAAAAAGTTGCCTGTCCGGGCAATTTTGCACCTCTCCCCAAGAATGCGGGAGGCTCTTTGCAAACTCTTTTCCTTATTTTCCAAATTAAAAATGTCCTTGGTCCCTGGGACACTAGTATATGATCAAGAAAATTGTAATGCCCAAAGCAAGAAAAGAAAAACCATCATTTTTGATGCTAACATGCTTGTCAGAGGAGTGTAACAGCTGGAAACGGTTAAAGGCAGGCTGATGTGTTAATGCTGGAGAATGACGGTGATTAACTGCGACTCCACCTACCCCAAACCCTCGTTAATATCATACTCACTTTCCTCTGTTTCAGTCACAGTTCCTCTGTGCTGGAGCCAGTTCTCCTTAAGACTGAATTGGTGGAAAAGGGCTTTATTCTGTGAGAAGGGAGAAAGAGAACAATGAACAAATGTATTCCTGCCCTTTGGAAAACCACAGCTGTTTACAACATGTTCCAAAAGAGCTAGCCAATTTTTTTTTTAATGTGAAATCCACCCATCCAATCTTAGAGGAATAAACTGGGAGTTGCCTCCATTAATGCATGTGGAGGTGGAGAGTCTGAGCAGTATGATAGACCTTGGCCAAGGCAAGCAGCAGGCAAAAGGCCCCTATAACTATTCCCTGCAACACGCTGGAGAAGATCTGCATGATTTTTACTGGATACTACAAACATCCACAGACTCTTCTCCCGAAAAAGACATTGTTTCCACATCCCAACCTCAACCTTGCTTTTGGATAAAGCAACTTTGAGATGGTTTCATACCTCTGCTGTGGTACAATGACTTTCTTAAGGGAAAAAAGTTCATTATTCAATATAATTATCCACCTGATACACCAGCTTCTACAAAACTTGTGCCTGCCATCTTTGCATTTTCTCCCCTCAAGGGGAATAGGAAACACATTCCCTCTTGCTTCCCTATTCTTCTGTTGTGTTGAAAGTGCAAACCTTTTCCTTACAGGACTTCCTTACTCTTGCAGTCAAGATTTTTGTCTGGGTTTTTTTCTTTTTTTGCATCAACATTTAAAATTCAAATTTATATCACATTGGGGAAACTCTGAGACTCCAACAGGCACCACAAAAATAGGTAGAATGTCATCAAGTCAAGGGCACATGGCTGAAATCAGATCTGTACCAGCACAGGGAAATTGAAGTGAGCAGGAGAGAGTAGGCAAGCCGCAGCCCCAGGCTTCCCCACCCAGCCCTGTTCCACTTGAGGCGGTATTCATTTTAATTATGAAGCGACGCCAAGTGAGGCAAGGCAAGGTCTCCAAACCGGATCACCCCATTTCAGATAGAGAAGGGTCTTGCCTTACCTTCCTTTGTGGTGAGTATTCATCTACGGTGCTGAAAGGAAGAGGAGACGAAGTCAGTCTTTGTCCCAAACCCAAAATAATGCAGTTATTGTTACAGAAGACTAATTTTCAGGCACGGGGCAGAGGTTTTTGCTTTTCAAAAAGATAAAACACAGTATTCATTAATTTACTATGTATAACACACTTGACATTGGGCTCTGGATTTCAAGTGAACAAGGAGGGAAAAAAGCTATCTATTTAACAGGTATATTTTGCTTTCTACTCACAGAAGTGAGCATTGAGGGAAGAACTGGATTTATTTGATCCATAAAAACTCTAAGTTTTCCCATATATTGATAGATTTTAGGTGAAATTATTGTTATTCAGATACCTAAATAAGTCAGCCAAGGCACATCTTTTCCAGGATGTTTCTATGTGGACCTGGGGGACCTCCTGCAGGTCCCCAGCTCAAATCTTACTCCAGAATCTAAAGATACTTCGTAATCTTGCCAAAGAGGCAAGAATTATGTCTTAATATCATTTTTTAATTTTAATCTATTATTTCCCATTTTTATGTAAGTTTTTTTAATGGAATGTATTAAATGTATTAAATTCCATTAGTGCATTTAAATGTATTAAACCATGAATGAAAGTTTCCCAACTGTGACAGGCCTGCCTTATAGCATAGACCAACTTCCATGTGGGGGATTATTTTGACATAAAGGTTGTCTTTCTTTTTCTTTTTTCTTCATTTGTTCATATTTTCATACTAGTCTTAAGCTATGGAAACTTATTATAGTGTAAACTGTGATAAAAGGACACCAAAATTCACAACATTAATTTCTAACACACTGTCCTAACTTGCACCTCATTTCTGAATTTCTAAACGTGTGATTTTCATGATTGAGGACTAAGGCTTACACATAATTTATTTGCTCCCTAAATTTAATTTATATAGACATTTAATTTGCAATAGGATCTCCCTTTACTAAAATTGTCAGGCTTTAAATCTCAAATCAGCAATCTGAAAGGCCTAAAATAACATTTTCTATGAGAAGCGCATTTGTGACTCCTGAAATCTTAATAGAAGTTTTTCACAACTTGACAACAGATGTGTTTCATATTTACTAAGCAGAAACTGCATTGTAAATCAGAGAACAATTTTTCCCTTTAGATTAACTTTGCAGCTATATCTGAAAACTGAATAATGACTTGATGTTTTCATTTACCAAAATTAATAAGGAGAGTGAGTGGTAAATCAGAGTAAACTCAGGTATTGGCAATTTGAAAGACTAATGACAAAGACCTCGAGGATACTTGCACACGCCAAAAGTCACTCAATAAATGGTTTCTTTAATCTTTCTAAATTAATAAAGAAACCTCAGGGAATCCGTAAAATCGAGCTTTTAAAATGCTCCATGACTTGCTGCAACCTATTTATAAAACTTTTTTCCTATTCCATTAAACCCCCTAAAATGACAAGTTAAATATTTACCCTTTTAAAATTAAATAATGATTTATTAAATAACTGTTTTTGTGCAGCCAGATTGTTATGGCTCAGTTTGTTTCTACTGTCTTAACAGGATTTAAAAAAAAAATAGTCAATGAGCTTGACTTAGTGTTCATTGATTTTGAGATGATAAAAACAAAATACACAATTTACTCCTGGAAAAGCTAAGGAATCAAGATGAATCCCAGATTCAAAATGTTCAAAATGAACTTTATAAGACATCTCAAATTCTATCACATTTGCCGCTGCTGTCTTTCATTAATTGTAACAAGGAAAATTAAATACTTACTGGCGACGGTGCATTCCAAGTATCTTTTGAAATTCTTTCAATTCCTTTTCAAGTATTGGATATTCATATACATCATCCAGTACATTCCTGTATATGGTCTGGGGGAAAAAAAACTAGCAGTTCAATTGGTTTAATGCTCATTTTGTACAGATTAAGACTCATATACTAGTTATCCTGTCCAGGGAAATATGGAGGAATCCAGTACAGTGCAGGGGGTTAAACCAGGTACCATGAGACCTCAAGTGAATTCCACCTCTCCCAGCCCCTCACTCAACTGCCATTGCTCTCTAGCAGCTCTTAGGGGCTGTAGGAAGACATATTGGAAACTTAGAGATCTCTGGCTGACTACTCAAGATTTCCATGCTTATTCTATATTTAAAAAAATAATATCCACATAATCATCTGGGAGGGAAAAACCAATCGAATTAAATTACCTAGTTTTGAAAATAACATTAGTTTAGTCAAAGAGTTGGTTAAACCAGTTGTTAACCTGATGTCTAAATGACATCTGAATTTTGAATTCAAAGTGCTTTCCTTCATGTAAAGCAGAATCAGATTAGACACTTGACTATTCTGAAATAGAACTCTTCCTTGCACGAATTCCATTCTACCCCTTCTCTGTGTTAACCTGCACACCTAGTATGGTTTTGGTGGCCAAAAGACTCCAACTGTCTACAAAGCATCTCCAGAGAATTGTCTTTGTTGAAAAGATATTGTAGCCTATTAATGATTAGAAAAATATATGTTTATTTAACTCCAAATGTAAATTTAGGTTAGTATCTATTTTATAAGTTACTATTGCTTAAAATTCTCAAAATATACCACGTCCTAAAACAGTTTTATAATGTATATCTTGTCAATGTAGTTTTTAAATGATAAAAAAATGTAATTTTATTCAAATATTATATCTATGGGACTGGTTAGTTCAACTTATAATAAATCTCAACACATTAAATAGTATCAAGTTTTTTTTTGTTTTGCTGGGGAAGATTCGCCCTAAGCTAACATCTGTTGCCAATCTTCCTTTTTTTTTTTTTTATGTGAGCCGCTGCCATAGCATGGCCACGGACAGGCAGGTGGTGTGGTTCTGCGCCCGGGAACTGAACCCAGCCCACCAAAGTGCAACACGCTGAACTTTAACCAGTAGGCCATTGGGGCTGGCTCTATCAAGTTTTAAAGTATATTTTATTTTACCTTCCTTAATTATTTCATTTGCAATCAAAAAATTCCCATGACTTATATAAAATAACCTTAAATTAGTGAATGTAAAATTTGCCTTCTACACTTTTTTCATAATGAATTATTTAAAATAAAAAAAATGCTATGTACAGAGTACTGGGCCTCAGAAGTCAAAGTAAATTTATACTTTCTTTGAATCACAACTTGAATATCACAGAAAAGTTGAATGACTGCTACCAAAAACGAGATTTTTGAAATGTATAACTGAAAATAAAATCTGTTATTTGGCATCAAAGAATATCCGGAAGTATTACAGTACCTTTAAAAACATTTTTGAATGTTCATCTTCATGCAACCAGTCTTTGTACAGAGCAATCCACTGGGAAACAAGATGCAAGACCTTACGTTTTCGACAAGGAACGTCTGAGTTTTCTTCTTTGCCTTGATACTTCTTAGCAGAATAGGTGCAAATGGTTAAGAAAGAATATTACATTGTTGAAAATAAAAATATAAAGAGATCCATTTATTCTTGCTAAAGCATATTTTCCAAAGAATCTACAAGTATCTAAGCACACAGGAAGAAAAGAATACGTGTAGGGAGAGCAAAAGGTGTGCACTGAAAAAAGCAAAAGTAAATGCAGAAAAATGATTTACGTATACTCAGTGGCAGGCCATGAAGATAAGGGTTAGACAATCCCATTGACAGCTGCCAACATACTTCCATACGCAGCACGGGGTAACACCACCTCCAAGAGATACTAGGTGGCCCATTAATTTCAAGGGTGCCTCCAAGAGAAGATCTGGGCTCACTACATAGGTAACATTATTTCCATAAGAGTTAGGTCAGAACTAGGCCAAATATCCTTTGATCCACAGAAATTCACATTCTGTAAAACCAGTTACTTCTAAAGTAGCCCCAAATGAGCACAGATTTCTGGAGCATAATGCGAAATATGGTTCAAATGGCCATCCCTAGGAATTTACTTGAAAAAATGTTTTGGATAAATGTGCAAACATAAGAAAAAAGCACTGCTAATTTTCATTTTTACTGGAATAAAAAAAAAAATAAAATAAGAATAACCTAAATGCTTCAACCATTGAGAACAGTTAACTAAATTATTACATGTCCATTTAACGGGCTATTCTGCAGCCAAAAAAATGATGGTCCAGCAGTACATTTACTGATATAGAACATTCACAATATACTGTTGAGTAGGAAAGCAAGTATGAACAGAATACGTTAGGATGATCCACTTCTATTAACAATGCTTATTTATGTGAATAATTTCATTACCTGGAAAAATATATATTGAAAGTTAACAGTGGGTTCTCAAGATAATGAGATTTCAGAGTATATGAATTATTTTTATTATTCTTACAAGCATTTCCTAATTTGTATACAATGAACACATGTTAACTATGTTGTTAAAATTATATAAAAATTACAATCTCAAACGCAATGTGCTTAAAGTCCTAGGAATGAGACAGAAGCTTGGTGTTTTCCAAAGGGACTTAGTGTTTTTGTCCCCAAAATGATCATTTCTGAGTATTCTGGACACATTGAAGAGTTAACGAGGAATAGGAAATGCTATGACACCAAACACAGGTAGGCTTTGGGACTGTTGGAAAGGATTCTATATTCTTTAATGCTGATATATAATTGCAAAATAGGAATAAGTTCTAGATCAGGCTTGTAAATATTTTAAAACATAATTGAATCACTGTCTCCCCAACTTGCAAAAATACATTAAGACCATCCGATTTCTTTGATTTCCACCTATGAAATAAACTCAGGCAAACACAAAAACAATCTGTTCAAGTATCTTTTCTTCTAGATTTTCACTTAGAAGGCAAACTGTAAAAATTTATTTTACACTATTTCCACTTACACAACTGTTTTCTTCTTTTCCTGTGAATGTAAGGGCTTCAACTAATATAAATAAAACAATGTGGAAAATTAATAAATACTAATAACTTCTTTCTTTTAGGTCAGCATATGTAAGAGAAGAGAGAAACTTTTTTTTTTTTTTTATTAAAGCTGCAGATATGTTTTGCAATTACGGCCCTGCAGGATAAAGCAATGTAGGGACTGAAACTTCAACTCTCTTCTCCACCCATAGTTACTACCATTTATTTGCTTAATCTTGTTCTCCTCCGTACAAGATGTATTTTTAAAAATATTAACTGATTAAACTTGCAGTTATTTTATTCTGGTTTTCTGTGTGAGGGTATATTCATTCTTTCACATTTTGCCCACGCTACATTATAATAATTTATAATTTTTGCTGAGAGAGGGGAATAGTGGGAAGGCATTGGGTGAGTTATAACCTCAGTGTAATGCACTGAACATTAGCCAACCTAGGGCTGTGAGCTTAAATAATGCTCTTTATGATGATAGAAGCTGAAAGGTATTAAATCCTATTACAATAAAAATATCCCTCTAAGATATCCAAACATAGCCCAAATGGCTCTAATTTATAAATAATGTGCAAAAATAATGGGGGAAAAAGCAACAAAAAATAATTTGGACCACTCCTTAGAAGTTGTAGTAGGATTGAAAAGGTATCTTCACTAAGATGTACATAAAAATATCTCAGATTAATTGTGGATGCCATATTTTTGTTTGTGGTTTGTATTATTTCATAAAAGGTAGAGTCTGCAGACATACAGAAATAGTCACGTAGCAAGACTCCTGGCTTAAAATGTTCTGGATTTCATGGGTTTTGATATTTAGTAAAATGGCTGCTAAGAATCTGAACTAAATTTTCCTATAAAATGTCTTAATCAAAGACTCAAAACATGTTTATATCCAAGTAAAGTTTTAGAGATTCTTTATAGGGAAATCCTATGAGGCACTGAATTAGTCAACGATAATCACAAATAATATTAGGATCATATTTGAAAACAATAGTCTGAAGGCATCTAATTTGCTATCAAATAAACTATATTATTTAACGAATGGTAATTCTTTTGGAAATATGATATCATTAAAATGTAGGTAAAATTAGCTCATAGATATTTTGCTAAAACTTTTAAAGAAGGTGAAATTGAAAATCTTCTAATTATTGTTCAATTTCTTAGTAACACCCCACTTGGAAACTGTGGAAGAAATCTGTTCTATTGAAATTTTCAAAATTCAAAATAACTAATAATGTTTCAAGATCAGTTTTATGAACTGGTTCTAAAAAGTTTCAAAATATCTGTAACTTTGGTTGGCCATGTGATATAGTAAAGGACTAAAAAGTAATCACCATTTCTAGCTTATATATTTAGTAAGAGAGATTTTAGTTCAATTATGTCCTTTATGGAGTTTTAGAGTATATTTTTACAGGAAAACTCTGTCAAGTGGGGAGAAATGTAACAATTACCTAATAGGAAAAGAAATATTACCGAGACCATTATCATTAGAGCTCAATAAAATTTAGGTATATACACAAAAAAAATCCATCTTCCTAAAAATTTTCATGTGGGCTCAAGTGGAATCTTCAGTTTGGTTTAATAAAAACCTGATAGTTAACAGGCTATTTAAATGCTTCTGAAATTGCTTCCTAAAACACTGTGAGGCAAGAAGCCCATTTGCAGACTCTGAGTTTACTTACTTGGCTTGGCTTTTTGGCCTTTCATTGTGTCTATGTTGCATCTCTTCTAGTTAGTGGATAAAATCATAACACTTCCTTAACTGGTCATTAACCTTCTAATCACATCCGTCATTATAAGAGAGCCGTGACAAAGCTCTGAAAAAATGACATTTGATTACAGGGGGTAGTTAGACCTCTTGTGTGGGGAAATGGCTTGTCCCCTGGGACACTTGCCCAGAAACATGACAGCGCAAATGTACGTTTTCCCTCATAAGTGGTCTGGCACTAACTGACTGATTGTCTCATAAGTTCACTTATTGCCAATCCACTCAAGCTCTTGACTCTGGAGTTTACCCAGTAGGCGAAATTTACCTCCAGGTTTCTAAAGACTTGAGACATAGGTTTGAAGAAAACATAATATAAATAGTACAATTTACCCACAACATAGAATGTGAAAACAGCAGCTCTGTATTTCCACTTCCCCCTGTCTATTCTGTCTCATTTCATCTTTTACCTTGGATATCATTACATTAATATTTAACATATCCACACTCTACCGTGGGGTTGTGTAAATTAAGAAAGGCAGTTAATTCCTAATGCGAGACATCTGTCAGAGAAAAAGCTGACACAGCATCCTGAAGTTAATGAAGGATATTGCCTTAAGAGCGCCTGGCACAAGTCATCAGTCGTCATGAAGACGGTGTACGTGAGAAGGAAGTCATCAAGGAGGGTCTCTGCAAAGGAAGAGAAACAAACGCAAGGTAAGCAAAGTGGTGATAAGAAGGGTAGCTGCTCATCCAGGCCCCAGAACAGTGTGCCCAGCAGAAATATGATAAATGGTGGTGGTAGTGGGAGGGGTTAGATAGGAGTCTTTTAACCACAAAATACATTATTTATTAAAGTTAAGATTTTTTTAAACTCCTTGTCTCAAGCAAGGAGGTATTTTTTTGTTGCAAGGCTATCTAAATATACAACGCGTCATCTTTTTTTCCTAAAACGTCATTTATATTTGTGAGTAAAGACAGTATGGAAAATCAATGCATAAATAATGTGCTTTTAAAAATAAACTTTGTAAGATTTTTCAGGTATACACTCCAGTCCTACAGCGAATGAAGCCTGCAGGTTCTAACAAATTAAGGCTTTCTAAAGCAATTTACCTAAGTCTAGGGCAAGAACAATGGATAATAAAACCCAGAGGATACACTTCAGGTTCCAAGGCCATTCACCTTTCTCTCTCAAATGCATCTCTAAGAAGTTGAGAAAGTGGTGAGTGATTTTCTTAATGCTGTGAAGAGAGAGGGAACCAAGTCCAGTTAAAAATGGAGAGCAGGTACAATGTATCACAATCTGCTCATTCCTATTTCCTTTTCTACCTCTTCAACCAGCAAAAACAGGTTCCATTTTTATTGCCTCTTTGCCTTGAGTGTTCTTGGAAAAGTCTAGCTTAAATGTAATATGGAACTGCTAAACAGGCGAACTCTGACCTCCAAGATAACTTCCAAACTGATAGAAGAGATTATATGCAGATTTACAAAATGGAGCTTTTGCCATAACAGTCTTCATCTAATTTCCTTAACTTAAAATTCATTTTACTATATGATTTAATTTTCATATCTTTTACATTCTGGACATTGAATTTTTAGTTATTTCAAACAGTAATAAATTATAAGAATAATGAGCTTGTATACTCAATGGCATTTATGCTAAGATCTGCACTCTATAAATGTGTAAGTAGAAAGAATTACCCAGCACAGAGCACTACAGCTCTATGTTGAAGATTAAAAACACTCCAGAATTTTTAGAAATAACCAGTGATATTTACTTTAAAAGTTAATCAATGAAAAACAACAAGGCTATGTTTATGAACACAAATCTCTGATATAAAAGTTGTGAATGACATCTACAGTCCTATATCAGCTGCAGTGGTTAGTTTATTTCTATGTTTTGTCTGGTTGCAGAACATCAAGATAATCCTGATCCACACAGGTAAGTGGTTGCAAAAGGTATTTGTTTTTAAAGCTTGCTTTCTAATTGCAAGATGCTCTTAATTAAAATAAACCTGGGGTGTTAATGGAGAGTATTAAGGGAATTTTTTCAAAGATATTCATTTATTTATGATAAGAGTATTCCTTATTAAAAAAATAAATTTGACAACTGGCACCTAAAATGTAAAATAAGCCTAACTTATAATGTTGTATCACACTGCAATATGCTAACAGTCACTGGTCTAACTCACTATTACTCTACGGCAAAAGCAAGTTCTCAAACAGATGTGTCTGGGCCTTGCTGGGCATAAATTAAGTCCAGTACAAGAAAACTGTGGGAATGTGGCTGGTTGGACAATTTAATGTGAGTGTACAAGCACAGCCTGCATTCATAGACAAGCTAGGAGCTCTCTACTAGAGTCCCTGTTTACAAAAGTGACAGGCAAACTCTGACCTCCAATATAATTTCCAAATTGATAGCAAAGATTATATGCAGTTTCAAGTATTTGTACAAAAAGGCAGGAGAAGCTTTATTCTAAGATATGCCCTGAAACTAGTTAATCTGGTAGCACAAGTTAATCACTGGTCATCCAAATGAAAAATCTGAGCTATACATCTGAAACTTTGTATGTCTTTTATTACAGTTTTTAAAATAGTTTAAATTAAAATCAAACAATGGCATAATGCCTGAACCCCCAGGACATTTTGGAATACAATTTGAAAACTATCCCTCTGGGATGCCATTGAACAGTAATGTTCACAAATTCTCACATTTCTCTGTAGTAAATGTGGTTGATGAAAATCCTTGACGTCTCTGGTCTGATCAGAAATTGAGTCTTTTTTGCATTCACTGTTACATACAGGCAGCAAGGACCACAGAGTAGCCTAGAATCTATTTTAGGGTTTTCAACGGGCTCTTATAGATCAGACAATATACAGAATGTCACCACTGGGTGACAGCCCTGAGAACGTCACACATTTAACATTTAAATGCTTGATGTGACACACAGGTTCAGACTCTTTGGGATGTTCTTACACTTAGTTAATTTAACGAGGTTGGAACTATTCTCTAATCAAGATTTACTCCATTAGTAGCTGAGATTAAAAAGAACACCATTAACTTGGACATAACTAGCCATTCCATCCTGGAACAGCCTTAGATAATGAACTGAGTGACTATGAGAGTGGTTGGATGGTGGCAAAACCATTTGGCATTCAATTCAATTAATTAGCTCATGTGACAATATTTTGTTAAGGGTTTTGACCCAGAAATGCTTATTTTCCTCTAAGCTACTACCATATTTAATATTCAACAGCATTTACCTAATTATCTCTCTTTTAAAGAAATATTAGTTAAAATAAAAACAATGAAGCTACAAAAATAACCTTTAATTAAAATCCTAATGAATAGAACAGATTCCCAATACCCCCAACTCAAATCTTTCTCTATTTAACACTATATTGTTCTGAAAATTTTCTCTATATAGTTTTCCTTTATTTTTTTCAGCATTGGTATTTTTTTTTTTTTTTGCTGCACATGAAAGTAATTAAGTGATATGATATAAATGACACACTTCAAATAAAAGTACATTTTATAATAGCCATGCTTCAAAAAAGGCTGTCCCATTGGTATTTAGAGATATTTTTAGAACCACAATGGCTATATAAATGATCCGCTGAAGACTATTAGCCAACAATAGCCGTTTAGAAAGACTAGCAAATCCACTGGCATCCACATTAAAATTCTGTAATTATCTATTATATTATACAGTGCTTAATTAACAATAATTTAAGACTCTGGGCAGAAAAGCACCTTTGTGTATAAAAGCACTTTTCATTTAAACAAATTCATAGTTGCCACATACACTAACATTCTGAATAAAAAGATGTATTCATTTTGATTTCTAACTGGAATACGTAGGTATTAATACGCAAAAAACTTTTCTTTGAAATTCTATTCATTAAATCAATCACTAAATCTAATTCCAAATTCTTTGCTCATCACTGACAAAAACGTTCAGCTAACCTTTTGGGAATATCTCCCTCCCCCAAAATAAAAAAATATTTTGTAGTGGCTTTTTTAAACACAGGAAGTACTCTTCCAGTATAAAAGTAACATGTGATAACAATCAAAACTAGAAGGCAAATACTATTACAGTTTTAAGTACTATGTAACTTGAAATAAAATATATCAATGTGCTGTCTAAATCCAAAGGCTTGATAGAAATGGCTCTAAAATTCATGTCTATAATTAGCCATAATGATGTTAATATGGGACTTTTCCCTATCATCTGTTATTGTTTTAATTTTAAGGTATAAGAAAAGAATTGTGTATTTTTATTTGATTCTACTTGAATGTATTTTTCTTTTATGTATAAAATATTTTCTCAGTCTCATTTTAAGTGTATCAAGCACTAAAAAGTTCCATCTTATTTCCACAAAACACAAGTGTTTCTAGAGCATCCTCAAGTTGTGTGAAGGTGGCATAGTAATTGGTTTGGTATAGATCCTTTTTATAGGGTTCTCTAATGTAAATGTAATCAAATTAGAGGAACTGATCTAAATGTTTTCAAAAGGCCTAAGCTTAATGCTTTTTTTTTTTTTGTAATAAATAAAATACAAAAACATAAAAACAAATCTTGGGGGGCTGGCCCAGTGGCGTAGTGGTTAAGTTCGTGTGCTCCGCTTTGGCAGCCCAGGGTTTGTGGGTTCAGATCCTGGGCGTGGACCTCCGCACTGCTTATCAAGCCATGCTCTGGCAAGTGTCTCACATATAAAGTAGAGGAAGATGGGAACAGATGTTAGCCCAGGGCTAATCTTCCTCACCAAAAAAAAACCCCACAAAAAAAAAAAAAAACAAACCCTGAATCTAGAAATCATGAGTATAGTCATGCTTAACAAGGGGCATATGTTCTGATAAATGTGTAGTCAGTCAGGTTCGTTGTTGTGTGAACATCATAGAGTATACTGACACAAACCTAGATAGTATAGCCTACTACACACCTAGGCTATGTGGTACTAATCTTATGGGATCACTGTTGTATATGTGGTCCATTGTTCACCAAAATGTCCTTATGCGGTACATGACTGTATAGGGTTACTTAGGAACAATTAGAGAAATCTACTTCAGTTATTTTTCAACATTCATAAGCAAAATGCACTGCAATAATGAAACTACTCATCTGTTAAAAGTGAATCACCAAGAAAGCAAATGAAAAGAATTTTGACAGACAACTGACTATAGCAGCCATTTAATCTAAGTATGGTAATGTGAACAGTCAACATTTTTGTACTAACTCATATTCCCTAAAGTACTGTTAGCAGTTTTGTTTCACCTGTATTTCTGCTTCAGATGCGATGGAATTTAAGGCACTCTAAAATACATTCTACTTAATCTTTATTTGAAGGAGCCAAGAAAAGTTTTGTACTTGAAAGGGCCCATCTCTAGCCCTGGAATGTTACAACTTACCATTATTTTTTGAGAAGCAGTGCCAAAATGTACCATGTAATTTGATTAAGCACAAATAAAAAAAATTTTTAACGATCATGTTTGAATCATAGGTTAAAGGGCTACACCATTAAAAGCTATGCTTCTTTCTGAGTGTATTTTACATTTCTGAAACCAATATTAACGACCTCAAATGCAGCAGTTTATCACAGCTTTTAAATTCACTCAATTCTTGCATATTTTTACAATTCACAAGAGTAATGCTTAGCCCTTCTAAAACTACCAAATCTTGAGATCTACA